TTTTTTTTTAGGAAAACATGTTCCCCAAGTCCAGTAGCTGTTATGGCTCTTTCCGGTATTGATAGAGGTTTCCTTCCTAACATTTTGTTTGAAGTGGAGTCGAATGTCAACATCTTGATTATGACATTTTTTTCTCTTCAGGTTATATGTACTATCCATTTTAGTTGTTGCTGCTGTTGGTAGTTCTTAAGTGATGTTTTTCCTGTTATTTGTTATGTAATTTTGTAGAGACACTATGATCAAAGAAGGGTGATCAGAAGAAGGAAAATGAAATGAAGGATGATTCAAAAGATGATCAAAATAGGATGATTCAAAGGATGATCAAAAAAGGATTATCAAAAGAAGGGATATTCAAAGGGTGCTCAAAGAAGGGTAATGAAAAGAAGGATGATTCAAAAGAATGATTCAAAGAATGATCCAAAAAAGAATTACTCAAAGGATGATCAAAGAAGGATGATCAAAAGAAGGATGATCACAAGAAGGATAATTAAAAGAAGGATGAGTCTAACTATGATTAAAGAGGATGATGAAAAGAAGAATGATTTAAAGGATGATCAAAGAAGGATGATTAAAGGAGGATGATCAAATGAAAGATGATCCAAAGAAGGATCATTCAAAAGATGATCAAAGAAAGACGATCGTAAGAATGGTTCAAAGGATGAAAGGTGAATTGTTTAAGAAAAAAATATGTATATTAATGCAGTGATGCATATAAAGTGGGTATATGTGGTCGAGTGTTTAAAACAATACGACCCGGGTTCGAATCTCACCATGCTCGATTTCTCAAGGAAGTCACTTCTTTGTATCGGTATGGGGCGACGATACCAGCGAAGTGTTTGAAAACCATAGAAGCTTGTGAGTGAAACTGTTCGAAAGCCGCCGATGGTCGGGCTAACACGAAGTCACCAGTCATCCTACACGAGCGTACATATTCAAACTGACGCTCACGCCAGATTATGCGCTCTCTAAGGTCCGTTCAGCATAGTTGTAGTATAAACGATAAGTTGGCTCTATGGGTGTTGAACGAACACAAATGTGCCTGAGCAAGTTATCCACCCAAATAGACAGGCATACTCAGAAACTAGCGGCTAGCCATATAAGAATCTGCATATGCGTCTGGGTTTGAAAATCTGAAAAATAAGAGTAGATAGTTTCGCCTATCGTCCGGTTCAAACTCCTCCCCTGTTTTTGAACAGGGGTATAGGCTTATTCCACGCTTTCTGTTTAGGTACCTCGGTTTCTTTCTAAAGTCTTTTTAAATCCTCTTTCGCTCCTAGTAGCCCTTTCCCCTGCATCTTAGCGGCTTTATCGCCTTGCTTGGGGTAAATTGATTTAAGAAAGATTAACAATGCAAGCGGACAGATTAACGGCGAATAAGAAAGAATTCATTTAGTTTAAAACCTTGCTGGCCGATATGAAAATTAACGTAAGTCTAATTTGTTAGATAAAGTATTATTATTTTTTTTTAATTATTTTTCACTGTTAGGAAGATGGAAAAACTTGAATCTAACAGGAGGTATACAAGTCGATACCTTATCAGTATCGACTGGGCCACCACGGAGAGGGGGTATAATGTTGAAAGACCTGAAACCCTTAATTTACCAAGGGGGTTAAACCCATTCGCCTTGCTTATGGAAGAGCGCACATTGCTGGTGAACCGGAAGTCATCCGGGACTGGACAAGAAAATGCCAAGAGGAGTCGCATGGTGTGTAGTCAGAAAATTGTAGCTAACGGAAGTTACACAAGTCGATACCTTATCAGTATCGACTGGGCCACCGCGGAGAGGGGGTATAATGTTGAAAGACCTGAAACCCTTAATGAACCTCGGCTAGAAACATCCCTGATGATGTGTACTAAAGCATCCAATAGATATATTTTACGAAATTTCGTATTAATTTCAGTTACATTTTCTCGCTTGATTGATTGATTTTGTTTTTTACGGCTTATCAACCTTTCGTAGGTTATATAAAGCCAGAAGGTATTTTTAGATTGTACGAATTTTGAGGATAATAAAGTTTTTCCTGGATAATAAGAATTTTTTGATGATAAGGATTTTACTGATTCAAGTCATACTAATTAACCCATAACTGGAGGAGAGAATAGCGCGATTCATAACTTTTCCCAAAGGCATTTGTTCATAAGCAAATATAACGAACCCGACTGGAATTGGAATACGGCTCTCCCTTTTTCCCAACCGTTATCCATTACATCACATTTACATCCAAGCTTACAGCACCTTGTATTCCCAATCAGTCACTCATTTAGGCTACCAAGCTCGACGTTGCTTAACTTCGATGATTGTACGAGAACCGGTGTTTCAATGTAATATGGCCGTAAGCCCGTTTTCATCCAACCATACAAGCTTACAGCACCTGGTATTTGGAAGCGGGCACCCATCTAGGTACTGACCAGGCTCGACGTTGCTTAACTTCGATGATTGTACGAGAACCGGCGTTTCAATGTGATATGGCCATAAGCCCATTACTCCAACCGTACAAGCTTGTAGCACCTAGTATTCCCAAGTGGTCACCCATCTAGGAACTGACCAGTTCGACGTTGCTTAACTTCGATGATTGTACGAGAACCAGCGTTTCAATGTTATATGGCCATAAGCCCATTACTCCAACCGTACAAGCTTGTAGCACCTAGTATTCCCAAGCAGTCACCCATCTAGGTACTGACCAGGCTCGACGTTGCTTAAATTTTCTCGCAACACGTTACATTTAGACTTAGATACTAATATATTCTGTTTACCTAAGTTTAGCACAATGCCAAATAAAAGAAATATGCTTGAAAAGATTCATGGCGTTCAATGAAGAGAAAACTCGAGGCAGAAATATGACTCTACAGAAGGATACTGAGAATTCCATGGGTAGAGCGAGTAAGCAACGAGGAAAACTTAAAGGAAATCTTTGATGCCAGTGATCAGAATTTGAGTGTAAATTAGAACCCTGATTCCGGATGCAGACTTCAAGATCAGGTAGTTTATCTTCTTCTTCTATGTGCCCGCCCCTTCAAGACATGGGCGATAATGGATCTTCACAACTTCCTAGTCCTTAGTAGTTTTTCTCCCTTTGCTAAGGCTCCCGTTCCCGTTCCGTCATCCATTCACACAAGTTCAATTTTCTTCTTTTATATACCGCAACCCTTCGGGACATCGAGAATAATGAACCTTCACAACTTTTTATATCGTGTGACCTTTGTTAAATAATAGTTTAGCAGACTATTATTTATTTTGTGGAAGTGTATCTTTGCCCCGACTTCCCGACCTTCAAAGTCAGATACAAGACAAAATAAGGAAGTCTATTTTGATTGGCTGTGCTAGCATGGGAAGGATGGAGATGTGTTCTCTTTCGTGTCTGAAACAGCTCCCCAGTAAGGGGGAACGACCCCACTGGATAGTTAGTACATGTCGACATTAATAAAATAGCTAAGTTAAAAATTCTCCGTGTTGAGTTTTTTCATCTCTGGACACAAAATCCCGGCCGGAAGAAGACGAGAGGGAGAATGCAACACATTAGCAACTTTTCTCCCTTCCGGGGGTTGACCTTCGAGGTCAGATAGAAATCGTAATATGGGAGTCGGTTTTAATTGGCTGAGCTAACGTGGGAATGATAGATAATGAAAGTTTTTTCAGGGAGTTGTTTCTTACCCGTCAAGAGATGTAGACGTGTTCTCTTTCGTGTCCGTAACGACTCCCTAGTGAGAGAGAGGATCCCCACTGGATAGTTAGTACATGTCGACATGTTGAGTTCTTTCATCTCTGGACCCAAAATCCCGGCCGGGAGAAGACGAGAGGGAGAATGCAACACATTTAGCAACTTTTCTCCCTTTGCTAAGGCTCCCGTTCCCAGTTCCGTCATCCATTCGCGCAAGCTCATCAGGTGGGTGGTCTGTTGCTTTTGCCATATCTATCCTGCTTTCAGTATCCCCTGTGAGGATTACCTTTTCCAAGACTTCTCCCTCATTATGTGACCAAGGAAATTCAGCTGTCTCTTTCTGATTCTGAGTATAAGTGTTCTTTCTGTTGCCATTTTCTTCAAAATTTCTTTGTTGCTTACTCGATCCGTCCATTACGTCACGTTGCAATAATTCTAAGTAAAATGATACACTAAAATAAGTAACCAAGTAATCGTTTTAAGTTCTCTGAATATTGATGCCTTAAGACTCACCATAAAATCTGTCTGAATTTCTGGGATGGTGGGTTGACATTATTTAAATTATTTACACTCAGACTGTTCTCATCATCTTTGTTATTTTCATCAGGTGACCACAGAATCATAGCCTCGTTGATTAAAGCTATGGTTCGGAAACTTTGTGACATTGGGGGAGGGATAGTAAAAAGACAAACATTATTAAGAGCGACAAAGGATAGTTAGATTATTTGATTTATTGATTGATTCGCTTTTTACGGCTTATCAACCTTTTGCAATTTATTTAAAGCCAGAAAACATTTTTAGATTCTAAGAATGTTCTCTGCAGATAATAATTGTTTCGTGATACAAGTTTTACTAATTAACCCATAGCTGGGGGAGAAAACGTAGATCCATACCTTTCCCAGGGGTATTCGATGGTGAGTGAACATAACACAACTGGAATTGGAACTCCGAAATCGGCTCTCCGATTCACAATTCCGGACTATGATCCGTTACACCCCCCTTCACATCTAAGGCTACAGTACCTGGTATTCCCAACCGTTCACCATCTAGGTATTGACCACGCTCGAAGTTGCTTAACTTCAGTGATCATACGGGGACCAATGCTTCAACGCGATGTGGCCGTAAGCCTGGGAAGTTAGGGGCAGGCAAATCCCCTTAAGGAACACGGCACAAAGAAGAAGAAGAAGAAGAAGAACATGGCACAAAGAAGAAGAAGAAGAAGAAGAACACGGCACAAAGAAGAGGAAGAAGAAGAAAAAGAAAAGAAGAAGAACACGGCACAAAGAAGAAGAAAAAGAAGAAGAAAAAGAAGAAGAAGAACACGGCACAAAGAAGAGGAAGAAAGAAAGAAAGAAAGAAAGAAAGAAAGAAAGAAAGAAAGAATCCCATCACTAGGCCGTGTACTGAAGACTGATATACAGTGGGGATAAAAAAAAGACACGTTATCCCAAGATATGGATTGCAGAACAAGAACAATTGCTGCCCATAGATTAAAGAAAGTTCGATTGATGGATTTTGTTTTGCAGCATATCAATCTCTATGGATTATTTAATGCTGAAATCTAAATATTTGAAACACAATTTTATGGCTTCAGCTACAGATTTTGTACATAATTATATACTTTCAGAGTAAATGTATATTTGTTATATACATACTTTGTAGATAAAATCTACTGGTGGTAATTGTATCATAGAAATGTACTGTTGATTTCTGTCTAGAGGGTTTACTATTTGCCCATAGCTTGGACCCTAACAGCTGATACCACTTGGGGTGAGAGTGGATCTGGGAACAACGGCATTTAAGAAGTGATTTTACGCTCCTTTAATCTTCCAATCAGAGGCCTTGCTGCCGGATGTAGTTTATCGTCACATCCAGAACGGATTAAATAATGGTTTCAGTTCGAAATCCCATGAAAGTTATCCAAATCGACACTTGAATACGGCTGGAACAACAACCAAACCGTTGCGATAATACCACCAGAGATGAAGACAATAAACCGAGTTTAAATAATGTTTATTTAAAAAAGTAAAATAAAAGTAATAATTATGGGTTTCTAAAGAACACCATGTATTAATTATAGCTTCTTTTTTTTTTAATTCGATATTAATTATAGGTTCCGAATTGTAATCCTTCAATGTCCAGCGTCATTTTTTTTTTTTTTTTTTTTTTTTTGACAGCAGGCATTAATGGATAAAAACGGCTCAGATTTTGTTATTGTTTGTGATATTTACTTTGGAGATTAACGCTATAGGAAAAGACAGTCTGTAGAAAAGAGACCATTCTTCTTTTGTTCTTTCGTGTGTTGATCCAAGACATGAATTCTTGCTTATCTTTAGTTGAGTTTTTCAATTTTCCGTCTTATCATTCATATTCTCCCTAAACATATCTCCCTTTGTTTTTCATTATCTATTTATGTTTTATTCTATTCAATATGTATTTTAATCTATTTATATTCCAGTTTTATTCAATCACTCAATCTATGTACTTATCTATGTCTGTCCCCGAGCTATCTCAAATTGTTCATATCTATTTAGCTATTTATCTCAAGCTATTCATATTTATCTATCTCAATTTGTTCATATCTCATTGTTTTTACAGAAATCTATTTATCTAGTGTTCGTTCTGGGTATGACGAAAAACTACATCCGGCAGCAAAGCCTCTGATCGGAGCATTGGAGGTTTTAGGGGAACGTGGAAACACCTCTTAACTGCTGTTGCATTTTGATTTCAGCAACCAACCAAAATCCAAAATATTTAGATTATGGCATTAAATAACCCATAGAGTTTGATGTGCAGCTCAACAAAATCAACCAACCAAAATCCAAATATTTAAATTTCGGCAGTAAATAACCCATAGAGTTTGATATGCCGCTAAACAGAATCAACCAACCAAAATCAAATATTTAGATTATGCCATTAAATAACCCATAGAGGTTGATATGCCGCTAAACAAAATCAACCAATCAAAATCCAAATATTTAGATTTCGGCATTAAATAACCCATAGAGTTTGATATGCATCTAAACAAAATCAACCAACCAACAAATAACATACCTGGCAATCTTGAGTACGTGGATGGCAGAACAGGGTTTTGGAGAGGCAACTAAAAGATAAAATTTAATAAGAACTACAGAGGACAGGCAAATGTGGAGAGCCATGATCGCCAACATCCTGAAGAGAGATAGCATAACCCTTAACCCTAACCCTGCCGAGAAACCAATCATGGACGTTTTTTTTTTTTTTTTTTTGAAAACCCACATGAAAGTAAAACAATTTTAATTTTAATATTTCTCTGTAAAACATTAATAAATATTAAGTGTTTCTAAAAATTTCACTTTTTATCGATATATATATATATATATATATATATATATATATATATATATATATATATATATATATATCAGTTTGTTCATATCTGTCTATCTACTGATATATCTGTTTAACTTTTCCCAGTTTATCTATCTATCTATCTATCTATCTGTTTAACTTTCTCAGTTTGTTTATCTATCTATCTATCTATCTATCTATCTATCTATCTATCTATCTGTGTATCTGTGTATCTATCTATCTCTTCTTCGAAGCATTTTTGTCTGTTTATTAAATTATTCGATCTATCCATGCATATCCAAAGATATCTCATTTCATTATCTATCTATCTATCATGCTTTCCTTCTCAAATCTGGTGGTACTTTTCTTCCAAGTTTTATAATTTTACTAAGCTTACTAGTAAAGCTTAGTGATATATAAATCATTATGTATCGATATTATCAACACTAAATTGCTAGGCTATCCTGCAAGTCACTGCTCTGTGGTAAGCGGCTTACTTATTTAATATGT